GGAAGTGGGTGAGAGGAGGTAAGTACCTATCAGAAATACATTTTCAGCATAAGAAAATGTTAACTTCCAAAACGGTACTACCTTCACTCATCCAAAGCTAGAATTCAACATCACCAAGGTGGAAGGGCTGTTGAAGGCACATCAATCTCAAATCAAGCAGAAAGAGACTGCATTGAAAGAACGAGTGTGCTAGAATATGAAAAGAAAGCACACCAGTGGGGTATTTCTGAAACAAGTATGCTCTTTGCCCAGCAATCAATACAGTATCATAACTGGGATGAAACTGAAATGACAGGCACAATTGAAGTCAATAAAGTGATGACAGCACTGAATACGTGTAGGAAGTGCTGGTTAACTATGAAATGAATCAGTATGGTGTTGACAAACATGGAAAGGCTCTGTGTATGCAACCACTTTCCTTTATACATATGTGTCAAGGGAAGTGCCTTGGGTTACATCGGGTTACGCCAAGTGCAGTACAGCTGGGCAAGACATCCAGGGGAAGCATCTTGGATACGTTGGATTATGAAAGATATAAATTACTGTTATGAGTGCAATCGTAAGGTCATCATAACAGCCCTCTGTCTACATCCATGAATATAGTGATGGTGAGTCATAGTATGTGCCAGTAAATGAGCTAGAGAGAAAAACAAAATAACAATACATGGCTAGGGTTTAAGGACTGTGAAATGTATTTAAAGAGACCAAGAGTGGTCCACCTGGGCAAAAAACATCTAGGGGAAGCACCTTGGGATACACTGGATATGTCAAGTTCAGTCCATCTGGACAAAAGCATCCAGTGGAAGTGCCTTGCATAAGAATTTAAGGTCAACAAGTGCGGTCAGTCCGGGATAAAAACATCCAGGGGAAGCGCCTTGGATACATAAGATTAGACCAAGCATAGTCTGCCCAGTCCAAGGAAAGCACCTTGAGTTATGTCAGATTGGGCCAAGTGTCATCCATCTGGACAAAAAACATCCAGGGGAAGCACCTTGCATAAGAAATATGTGATCAACAAGTGTGATCTGCCTGGGCAAAACATCCGGGGGAAGTACCCTAGATACTGAATATTATTGTATAATCATTGTGCGGTACTGTAATGATTATAACAACTATAGCCCTCTTCTCACTGAGTGGGTAAACATGGGCTAGAAAGATTTGTTTATCAAAACCCACTCAAAAGGAAACCTCCACGGTCCACCACTCCAGTAACTGGGAACTGGAAGTGGTAAGGATTCCAATGCTGCACTAAAACAGAAAGGAGGAGAATATGCAGAATGACACACTGGAGACAGTGTAATCGGTGACTGCGATTCCCTATTTTGAAAAGCAGATAGACCCCAATTGTAGGAATTGTGGTCAGTAGGGATTGGTAAAAATCCACATTTGCTTTATTCATGGGGTGCATGAGTGATAGTACTTTGTAGATGAAAGTAGTAACTTTTACTAAAAAGCTGTTGGTGGTCTTACAGAAACACCCCATATCAATTGTGAGTGTTACAGAATTATTCATATCTAATGCAAATATAATACGAAGCATACCTGACCAGGCAACACCCGCATCCTGAAATATGATATGTATCAACTAAAAATACATAGGAAAAGTAGTATCTCAACTTACCACAGTCAAAAATGAACAGACACGTGTAGAATCGCCACAGGAGGAAGACACAGCCAGGTTGTTCAGATAATGTGCAATGAATGTATTGGGAGTTGTCCACATTCCTGCCTAAATAATCTCCCTCAAAAGCCAGCAAAGGCAAGCAGCTAAAAACATAGTTAGATGATGAATTGAGTGCGAAGAAACATTGTTGTACAGACGACAACCTTCCAAGAACAAGTCAGAATATACCAGTCGTATGAGTTAATGAACCCAACCAGTGAGCACAATAGGGGACAGATCCTGGGACACAGAGGGAATCCTTGGAACAAGTAGATGGGAACGATAAAATGAAAGAAGGAAGTAAGAGTCACGTAAAATCTCAGGGAACGAACCGGACAAAGAAATCTATCCAGAACCAAATGGGAGTACAGGTGGGAAATAGGAGAGAAGCCAAAACCACCTGCCCAGGCAGAAGAAGTCTAAGAAAAGAATATACAATCAAAATAGAGAATAACATAAAAGGAATGGTAAAGGTTGTGGGATAAATACTGGAATGATGATGATCACAAGCAAGGAGGAGGACTTAACAAAAAGATGGCACAAGGAACATGTAGCAGTAGGTTCAAATGGAGAACTGGATAGGGCATGAAGGACAAAACTGAGATCCAATATGGCAAAATAAAGGGACGTGGAGGACAGACAAGAGGAAAGGAACAGAAAATGAGAAGAAAGCTTCACAGATAGAGAAGAATCAGAAGGTGTTTAACAGGACAAATATAACTGGAAACATTTGACATGAACAAACTCTGATCAAACAACCAGGTGAAAAACTGGGAAAGATGAGGTACCAAAGGACAGGAGAGGCAGAAACCACGGTAAATAGACCAAGGTCTGAAGGTAGGCCACCATCTCTGGTACACAGATAAGAAGGAAAGTAGAATGGAATAGAAAAGGAAAGACGTAACACAAGGGGTGAGTCCCTGAGCTGAGGAAAGGGACCAGACAAATCACACATGTGAAGATGGAGTTTAGTGATTTTGGATTGAACTATGTTTGATCTTGGTTGTTGGAGGAGAGACTGGAACAGAGGTACGGTCAGGGGATGTTGCTCCAGTAAGGGCCAGAGCAGAGGGAACCATATTTGAGCAGGCCAATACAGAACAACGAGAAGGACTCAACAAGGTGTGGTTTGGATATGGGAAAAGACTGGATAAAAGTCTGATTGGAGAATAAGCATATAGGTGAAGACTCCCCAATCCTGACTACTCCCAGAGTTGAAGGGTGTGGAACCAGAGTCCAAAAGGAAGAAATTTTAGTGTTCCAGTGAGTGGCAAACATCTCTATGCAGCGTTCCCAATTGAAAACACACTTTCTGAAATACCGGTTGAAGAAGGGACCACTCTATGGGGAGAACATGGTCGGATTGAGATAACCAATCAGCCACCAGATTCATAATACTGGGAACGTGACACACCAATAACACAATGTAGTGGTCATGGGCCCAGTAAAGATGATCCAGAGTGAAAACACAGAGATTTGGATTTAGTTCCCCCTTGTTGATGATACCGCGAATGACAGTGAAATAGTCAGAATGAACCATAACCACCTGCCCTCTTAGGAGTGGGAGGAAATAATACAGAGCCCAAAAAACTGCCAAAAGTTTCAGGATGTTGAAAATGGAGGGTAGCCTCTTCAACCGGAAATCTCTTGTGAATCGAGGAAAGCCCCCCAACCCACCAAGGAAGCATCAGTAAACAGATGTGACTTCAGACAAGATAGAGGAATGGGAACCCCCCAACATGGTCAGTTCCCTATTGAGCCACGAAGCAAGGTTGGCCCTGATCCCAGGGAGGAGGATAATGGGATGGTCCATTGGTCATGTGAGCGTGACCCAAGGGAATGAGAGCTCCCAAGGAACCCCACATCCCCAAAAGAGAACCTCTCATGCAGTGAGAAAAGGAGAAGGCTGAGCCCGATGAAGATGGGAATTAAAGAAAAACCCAAATGGAATAAGATATTGAGTGGGATCAGAAAACCCCACCCAATTAGCTTCCCAAAGAAGTAAGCAGGCATGATTGACCGACTGGGCATGGGAAGAGGCAAGCAGAAGCCAGTCACCCATGAAAAGAAGAGTCCAAAGACCCAACAAGTGAAAATGATGGGCAAAAGAGCATACCACTCGACAAAACACATGGAGCCAAAAAACAAAAACTGAATGGCAGTGCCAAGAACTGGAAGACATGACCATCATGGGTGAACTGAAGAAAACAGCATGACACTGGAGCAGTTGAAATATGAAGATAGGCATCTAGGATCCCAAGGAAAAAACCCTGAAGTAAGAGGTAGGACTCCATGACGAAGCAAGGCAGCTCCAGATAAAAGCTCAACTTGGACAGGTCTATGGTCTCCAATCTCCCGTCATTCAAGAGACAACAGTTAGATGAAAGTAAAACCCTGGTTGAGTGGGTACCACCCTTTTAACAGCCTCTTTGTGTAGTAGGTCTTGAACAGACTAGGCAAGATGACTGGAAGAGGTATGATCCCGAGGAGGAGGGAAGGAGATCTGGGAGGTGGATTGGGGGGGAGCAGAACTGAAGGCAGAAGCCTTCAGATAGAACCAGTAGAACCCACGGAAATGTTGTGAAGTGTAGCCAAAAAAACACAAACCAAACATACTTAGAGAAAGTACTCATTACTAACAAAAACCTAGAAATTTGTAGAATCTACAACGTACATAAAAAAATGTACCTGCAAAACCATGAAATTCGACCTAAAACATAAAACAATAAGCAACACCTAAAGTAAAAAAACAACTAAAGGAACTTAGAAGATGAAAGAAACGTGAATATGAAACTTTTTTTTAGTCCACACAAAGAACCGGTAAAACAAAGAACATGAAAGTAAAACCTACCCTAAAGAACATGAGATATGAAGTGGCCCACACAAAATTTGACTCAAATATAATGTCCAATTAGATGTGATTAGTAGTAATGAAAGGAAGTATAAACAACGAACTAATACACCCACTAAATTGGCCAAGGTTACAATTACACAAACAGTAACTATCGTGCAAAACCCATACATAACACAACAAAGTAATAACCAAACTCTAAATGGAAATATAATCTAAAGTAACTTAGATGGTAAAAGACCTAAATTGTCGCATGAGGAAATTAGGTCAATCTACTCAAGCTCACATAAACTCACTAAACATGGGTATACCTACTGGAAGTGAGGAAAACTTACCACAGAAGAATGATACCTAATCAACCAGATTACATGGAGACACGGTAACTTGTGGAAGGTGCCATAGAAAGAAATTTCCACTCAGGAGTTATATCCTTCCTCAGAAAAAAGCGTAACATGAAAGGAAGAAATCAGCGGCCAAACGTGAGACAAAAACTCCCTGCAAACTAAAGCCTGTACTTCCCAGCAGACATTACTGACCCTGAGACCTGTGAACTCGTGTCAGTACCATTGTTGCCTGTCTCAGGAATTTCATCACTCGTCATATTAAATCTTGAATTCATGTGAACAAATCAGAATTCAGAAAACAGAAATATTTCTAAAACAAATGAGTAGAAACAATGGAAATCAAATACAAGAAGTTAAAACTTGTAGTTGAAAATGATATAAGTTTGTGATCAAGCACAAGCAAAATTTTATGGTCACATGGAGATCGAGTTAAAACACACTAGAATGCCAATTGAGAATGTAAAAATTGTTCTAGAATAGTAGAGAGAGCTAGCTGAACCAGTATCGATAGCACAGGACGATTAGTCACATGATCAGCACAAGTTCTGAAATGGTACAAAACTGATGGGGTATAAAGACTGGTGTACTGTAGCAAAATTTTGTTAGCAATGCTAAGAGGGCAGACCAAGATCGAGATAGCACCATTTTGGAAAAAGAAATCATCACTTTTAGTTCCTGGTCACTTTTCTTTGACACATATTGTAATACTTGTTAAAATAAACTCAAAACTTCACACATATTTAAATATATCTAGGTTAAAAAAAAAATGCTGTTTTATGGGTATAATGACTTGAAACATTACCAAAACAATCAGATTTTCCTTACAACAAAGAAAAGTACTAGTACAAATCACAGTAAAATTACTCCCTAGTAGACAAAAAATATCATCTAATGACCATAACACACAGTTCTCACAGAAGTTTTGAAACAAACAACAGAAAACTACAGATGACAGACCAATGCCATGACACGTTTTTGAAACTTTGCACCTTTAACACTAATCTATAAAAGTATAGCTACAACATTTCAAATATTTTTAGAAACAATTATCAGCAAAACTACAGAATTCAATAATTAACTCTTATGGCTCCTGTAAGATGCCCATGTTATTCATTCACCAAACACAAAAATAAATCAAGATTCTAATTCAAACTTTAAAAAAATGTTTAAATTATGTTTGAACACATATTTACACAACTCTTAATAACCAAAATAAATTACCTTCTCTTTCTCCTTGGTAGCTTGCCACAACAATTTTCTTTTCTGCTGCTGTTCGGCATACTTTAAGGGATTGACAGCAGCCGGGTTATAGTATTTAGGCAGAGATATCCCGGTCAAAGCTTGGGCCTTGGCACTCATGGCAGCCATCTGCTGTTGCAAGGCCATTTGAGGGGTCATACCAATTGACCCAACATCGTTTAAAGGAAGGTTGCTGGGTTTCTCCACTGGACCACCTATAAGTTAAAATATTGAAATAATTAAATACTTTTTTTCCTTCAGTAAGCATGTATATTTATTTATAGCTAAATACATTTAAACACTTTGCTTACTCATCCACTTCATATAAACCAATGAGCGTCTTACAGCTACTTTATGCAATTGTAATGAATTTTATAGAAAATGGTTGAAAAATATTTTTCATTCAATGTAATTAAAAAAAACACACTTGACTTTTGAAAATTATTGTCCAGAAAAGCAAGTATTTCATCAAAAAGTTAAATACTTTTTAGCATATACACAAGTTTATGAACACCAAAAGATATTAAAAACTACTTACTATTAGAATCTTTGGAATCTCCTTCTTTTGAGTCTTTTTTTGCAATACTGTTTTTGTCATCAAGCTTAATTTGACCACCCTGCCTATACATCTGTTTACTCTTACTCCTACTACGACTACGTCTTGGACTATGTCGACCTTTGCGGTCTCGGCCACCATAGCTCCTTTCCCTGCTCCGATCTCTACGATAACGATCTCTGCTCCTGGATCTTCTGCCTCGACTTCTTGATCTGTACCTTCTAGGAGGACTTCTTCCATGTCCTATTCTATATCTGCCCCTACTATGACTACGAGTCCTGCTCCTGCTTCTCCTCCTCCTCTTATCGCTGCCTTTTCTTGGACTTCTAGATCTAGATCTTGTCCTCCTACTACGGCTTCCACCTAAACGACTTCTTTCTCTGCTCTTGCTTTTTCTGTGGCGTCGTTCTCTGCTTTTACTACAGCTTCGACTCTTACCTCGAGAAGAATCGCTACTGCTGTTACTTGGACTTCTATCATGCCTTTTCTTTACAGTTTTATCATTTTCGGGGTCATTGTCTTTGGAATCATTCTTTTCAGATACCTCTTCCTGTGAAAAAATGGGCTTTTTCAGGAAATAAGATAAACTGTGTTAGTGCAAGTTCAAAATAAGATTCAAACATTCACTGAAGCATAAAAATCTGTATTAACATCAAAAACTAGACTTTTATCACAGGTTAAATTACTTTACAATCACGATATGTAACGAACTTTCTCTTTAACTTTCATTTTACTCTGTCACACTGTCTCTTATCAGTCACACAAGTTTTTTCTACATCTGTCTGATCATTTATAATTCATTCAAAATACACAAATGAAGGACTGAATCACATTACCATTTTGGAAGAGCTAGATAAATGTAATAACCTTGTGAGAGTTGATAGTGAGTTCTATGTTGCTCCTACTCATACACTTACATATCCTGCTATTACTGATGGTGTAATATACAATGCCACATGCATCTAGATTTCATGCTGAAGGTTATTCAATGAAATGATAAACAAAAAAAATTATGGCAGGAGTATTTGGGGGACAACTGTGATAACTTTCTTTATAGTTTAACACTCATAACATGTTGCACACATTTCACCATAGTTTGCATATTGAGGGAGGGTGAACTTTAGCTCTCTGTCCCCAAATAAGAAATTTTTTTTAGGTCTTATGGCCTTTTACATTAAAATAACCATAATATACGATATTCTCTTTTCAATGTCAACATCCACAGGCATTAAGAAATTCTCAAAATGTTTTAGTGTTGTGTGTGTGTGTGTGTGTTTGTAGTTTATTTTTTACAACACTGAAAACAATCTTGTTTCTTGACTATTAAGCATAAAAAAATTCTGGTTAATTATTTTTCATGAAAAACATATCTTACCTTTTACTAGTTCAAGGATAAAAAGCATATAGTTTCTTCCAAACACAGGCCATTTGATAATGTGGATTCTTCGGAATTTTGAAATTGTGAATCACCCTTGGTAATTGCTGTTTAATGAGTTACACCTTAATTTGAATTTTTATTCTTTTGTTATTGTAAAGAATATTAATACAGCAGAGCATCATTCATAATTTCAGTCAATTAGTAAGAACAAATTTGCTGATCATTTACAGTTCCTTCTTAACTGTCCAGTTTTATTCATTATCAATTTTTAATATTGTTTAAGGAATGCGGAGCACTGATAATTTTAACTGTGAGAATCCCCAATGCCTGTAGTGTTAAATTTACTCAGTTTAAGTTAGCTGTTCACCCAAATGAGGGCTTACATACTGTTCGTTACTGCCATGCTTGGAATTAGGGTCGACAACTTGATCAAATATCAAGTGTTGTTTACAAATGATTCTTACTTGTATGCTGCAGCTAAAGCAAGCTGTAGTCTTCATCACTACAGCAATGTATAAATACCAGTTTGTAATAAATCAAATGCATTCAAACAGCTACAACCTAGCAACTGCTACTAGTTCAGAAAAAGGCTGGGTAAATGAAAGAAAATTAATTTTTACACAATTTTGCCTCATTTGGCTGCAAAATACTAGCCACATAACAAACCTGACATATAGTTCATTCCACCAAAAATTTAAAAACATTTATTGAAAGAAGGTTAAAAAAAGAAGTGTTTACTACTTAGGTTTTCCAATGTTATTTGTATATTTTTATAAAAAAGAAATAAACTCATAACAATAACACTAAGTTTCAGGACTGAAGGTTGATCAACATGACCATTCCTAATACTAACAATGTTTAAAATATAAGAGAACACACTTTCACTGAAACATAAACTCCGTTTTGTTTTAAAAGTCTTTCATGAAAACTGAAGAATGTTTGGCATTATTTCTTTACTGTTAGGTTCTGAACTTTAATTTTTTTTTAGTTTCAACCACTTCTTTCTACTATTTAGTTAGACATTCTTTCACAAAACAAAAAACTCAACCCTTTCCAGCTCCGGCATGCCCAGTGTACCATCACAATAAATACATCAACCTCTATTGGAGAGAAGTTGTATCTTTATTTCAAATTCAGAGAACTGTGTGACTAACACTACAGCCCAGCACAGTGTACAGGCATCAACTTTATCAGAAGTACATCAAGCAAAGTGAGCTCACAAGTATCAAAACACAATGTGTTGTAGAATTTTGGTAATATGGATTCAGACAGGGAAAAAAGGTTTTATTCTCAGAGAATTTTTCTTTTCTTTTTCTGTATTTTTTACGAACTTAATTGTACAATGTTCATTTGACCATTACGATATAATCAGAAGTGTTTTATAAACCTCACAACCTACTTACTCTAGTCAATGCTGGACGTGGTTAAGAGTTTGTGAACCTCACAACCTACTTACTCTAGTCAATGCTGGACGTGGTTAAGAGTTTGTGAACCTCACAACCTACTTACTCTAGTCAAGGCAGGACGTGGTTAAGAGTTTGTGAACCTCACAGCCTACTTACTCTAGTCAAGGCTGGACGTGGTTAAGAGTTTGTGAACCTCACAACCAACTTACTCTAGTCAATGCTGGATGTGGTTAAGAGTTTGTGAACCTCACAACCTACTTACTCTAGTCAATGCTGGACGTGGTTAAGAGTTAGTGAAATTTAAAATGCTGTTCAATTTAGTGTAACTGTGCTATTATACATAACTCTGAATGTACAAGATGAATTTCTAAAAAATTTGGCAAGCTTTCAGTGAATGTAATATGTCTGTTGTACACAAAAAAATTGAATCTCTTAATAAAGTATTTTTATTAAAGATTTGTCAGTGAATTTCCAAAGCCTTTACCAATGAATGAAAGGGAATTTTCATGCTATAAATAAAA